TGCACCCCAGTGAGCGCCACCCCTATTCCACTGTGTCCCAGTGAGCACCCTCCTGGCTGCACCCCTGCACCAGCACCACCCGGCAAATGCCCCCCCCAGCTGCACCCCCAGACCAGTACGGCCCAGTAAATGCCCTGCCAGCTGTCCCCAGACCAGTACAGCCCAGTAAATGCCCTACCATCTGTTCCCAGTCCAGTAAATGCCCTCCCATCTGTTCCCAGCCCAGTACAGCCCATTAAACACCCTGCCAGCTGCCCCCAAACCAGTACAGCCCAGTGAGTGCCCTCCCACCTGCCCCCAGCCCAGTAAATGCCCTCCCAGCTGCTCCCAGCCCAGTACAGCCCAGTGAATGCCCTCCCATCTGTCCCCAGCCCAGTACAGCCCAGTGAGCGCCCTTCCAGCTGCCCCCAGCCCAGTACAGCCCAGTGAGCTCCCTCCCATCCATGCCTCCAGACCAGTGCACCCCAATGAGCGCCCTCCCATCTGCGCCCAGTACAGCCCAGTAAATGCCCTACCATGTCCCCAGCCCAGTAAATGCCCTACCAGCTGCCCCCAGCCCAGTACAGCCCAGTGAGCTCCCTCCCATCCATGCCTCCAGACCAGTGCACCCCAATGAGCGCCCTCCCATCTGCGCCCAGTACAGCCCAGTAAATGCCCTACCATCTGCCTGCAGCCCAGTACAGCCCAGTGAATGCCCTCCCATCTGCCCCCAGCCCAGTGAGCACCCTCCCAGCTGCCCCCCAAGACCAGTGTGCCCCAGTCAGCTCACTTTTAGCTGTGCCCTCAGACCAGTATACCCCAGTAAGTGCTGGGCTGTGCTCACGCTGCCCCTCTCTTGCAGGGAGGGCTCGACGGCAGAGCCGGTGAAGACGCACCGGGAGTGAGGAGCAGCACCAGGACCTGCTGGGCACTGGCCCACGCCATTAAAGTGTTGTCCCCCACCCGCCGCCCCTTGCTTTGGCACCCGCCGTCACGGGAGAGGAGTCCAGGAGAGTGGGGAAGGGGCATTTATTGGGGTGCTGTGCCCCGCTGGCCTCACTTGGCCACGTAGTACTGGGTGGGCACGAAGGGCATCTTGGTGACCAGGGCCGGGTGCTGCTTCTTGCGCACCTCCACGGTGAGCGCGGTGCCGGCCCGGCTGTGCGCCGTCTCCACGTAGCCCATGGCGATGTTCTTGCCCAGGGAGGGCGAGGGGCTGCCGCTGGTCACCGTGCCTGGGGAGGGGAGGACACGGGGAGGTGAGCGGGGGCCGGCAGCCCCAACACCCTCCCCTGCCCATGGGCGCAGCTGGGGGCTGTGCCCACACCTGCCCCGCTGCTCCCACCTACCCACAGACGTGCCCTCGGGGCCCAGGATGGGCGTGTGGGGCCGGATGGGGGGTCCCACCGACGTCAGCCCCACACGCCTGCGCTTCGGCTTCTCTTTCGCTTGTGCCATGATGACAGCCGCCCCGGGGAAGTCCATGGCCACGCGCCGGCGCTTTCCTGCGGGGCAGAGATGGGCGAGGGTCGGCACAGGGACCCCCCCACCCACCCTTCTTTGATGCCTACCTGGTCCCTCAGTGCCCTGCTGGGGACACCTCGCCCCTCTGCCCACCCTGAGGAGGAGGTGGGGGCGGACGTGGCCCCGACCTACCCAAGGTCCACATCAGCCCGGCCTCGGCAGGCGTGGTGGTCTCGTCAATGTCGTTGCCGTAGAGGCAGAGCCCGGCCTCCAGGCGCAGGCTGTCCCTGGCCGCCAGCCCCGCTGGCCACACCTCGGGGAACCCCAGCAGCCGCTCGGCCACCTCCACCGCCCGCCCTGCGGGCACCGAGATCTGCGTGGGGACACGGGCAGGGTTAGCAGGGCACGGTGCTGCCCTCGGTACCGTGGGGTGGGGTGTGTGTGTGTGGGGTGGGGTGGTGTTGGCACAGCTCCGGGGGTACCTCTACGCCATCCTCGCCCGTGTAGCCGCAGCGCGTGACCCGGCAGCCTGGCACACCAAAGACTGTGGTGGCGACACTGTTCATGAAGGACAGCTTGGCCAGGTCATCCGTCAGCCCCGCCTGCAGCACCCGTGCCATGGAGGGACCTGGGGAGGCAGGTAGGTCTGGGGGATGGTGGTGTCTGGGGAAGAGGGGGGGGACACGGGGAGGGCACGGACACCTGTCGGGCAGGGACTCGGAGCAGGGTGCCATCTGGCACCCGCTGAGGGTGAGACCCCCCGCGTGGTCATGCCTGGTGACAGTCCACGGCGGGGTCCCCGCTACCTTGCAGAGCCAGCAGCGCGTTGTCTGACACCTCCAGGTGGACGTCACTGCCGGCAGCCTGCAGCTCCGCCGCTCTGTCCTGCCAGGGTGACAGCGGGCTGCTAGCACGGGGGCCGGGGCTAGTGCCAGCCCCGCACGTGGCCAGGGCCACCTTGCCCTGCGCAGCCACGGATGTCAGCGAAAGGTGGAGGGGGGGCTCAGTCCCACCATGTGTCCCCACCTCCCGCAAGGCTCGGGCTGCCCCATACCCTCATGACGGTCAAGTCCTTGTTGACACAGCTGGCGTTGGACACTAGGTAGAGGTGATCTTCTGACGTGTTGGTGACGATGAGATCATCCACGATGCCGCCCCTCTCGTTGGTGAGCAGCGTCAGGGTGCCCTGCAAGGACACGGCCCTTGGGAGTGTGGGCAGGCTGCCCGTCCCCCCCTCAACCCCCCCCCGGGATGTCCCCAGGGACCTCTGACCCCACTGGCGTCGTGTACCTGTCCCGGCTTCAGCTCACCGATGTCCCCCACCACCAGGCTCTCCATGAACCTGACGCGGTCCCGGCCATACACCTGGGTCTGGAAGGTGCAGGAGGGGAATCACAGAATTGTTGGAGTTGGAAGGGACCTTCTAGAGATCATCTAGTCCAGTTCCCCTGCCAAAGCAGGGCTGCCCAAAGCACATCACTCAGGAGCATCCAGGTGGGGCTTGAAAATCTCCAGAGAAGTGGACTCCACACCCTCCCTGGGCAGCCTCTTCCAGGGCTCTGCCACCCTCATCCCAAATAAGTTCTTCCTCGTATTTGAGTGGAACTTCCCATGTTCCAGCTTGTGCCCATTGCCTCTAATCCTGTCACTGGGAACCACTGGAAAGAGTCCGGCTCCATCATCCTGCAACCCACCCTTTAGGAACTTGTAGACATAGATGAGGTCTCCCCTCAGGCTAAGGAGCCCCAGCTCTTTGAGCCTTTCCTCGTAAGGGAGATGCTCCAATCCCTCCATCGTCTTTGTTGCCCTACACTGGACTCTCTCCAGCAGTTCCCTGTCCCTCTTGAACTGGGGAGCCCAGAACTGGTTGCCGTATTCCAGTTGTGGCCTCCCCAGCGCAGAGCAGAGGGGGAGAATGACCTCCCTCGACCTACTGGCCACGCTCTTCCTGACGCAGCCCAGGATCCCACTGGCCCTCTTGGCAACAGCGTTGCAAGCCAGCTGCGTTGCTGGCTCACGGTGAGGCGGTGGGGGTGCCATCCCCGTGTGTGTGTGTGTGTCCCCGTGTCCCCCCCCCGCCGCCCCCATCCCCATCC